CATTTATATAATGTCATACCATTTAGCCCTTGCTATAAACATACAAAAATAAAAACGGCAGCATGATTTTATGCATGTTTTTTTAAACAACCCAAGATTTCACCCTAAAACAAAGTCAATTTTGTCTTTAAATTCACATCACTCAGTACTTACTTGCTAATGCTTTGTCAAGGTCAGCAATGAAGTCCTCCAGCTCTTTAGTGTCTCCAAGTTTAGCTAAAGACGACAATATACAGTTGATCAACACAGTACAGAAAATAAACCTAAAACCGATTCATTAGCATTAAATATAAACTCACGTTTAGGAGATGTGACCAAAGGACTGTTTGATGAGGGGGAGAAGACGCTGGGAGAGTTGAGCTTCTCATCACTGAAGCTGAAGCTGTTTCTGTTCAAGGACTCTGCACCTGTTACAGGAGGAAAGAAAGAGACAGAGGAAGCCAGAAATGAAACACCGACGCTTCCTGTATGTGTACAGCACACTGCCTTCTCTAACTCCACCAAAACAGGTGGGTAACGACCCCAAAATCTGTCGCAATCTATAGTGATAGACACAGAGAGGAAGGAAAAAGCAATGTTGTGATGCAAATACAATAGAGCTGAACATATAATTGTGCAGAATTAAGGCCCATTCACACCAGAGATGATAACTATAATAATTACTGTAACAGTAGTTTTAAAATTCATTTTATGTGAATAGGGAAATCCACATCAACAGAAATACTATTTCACTTGCAACATCTGTACACTTTTCCTTGCCGAGAGCATTGAAATTCAAGGGACAACTGGAAAAACTCTAGACTAAACGTCTATAGTATTCACTTGTGTTGAGTCACCACTTAATGCCTAATGTAAAAGCAGTGGAGCAGCATTGCTCTCTATCACACAGGCTTGCCAAACATGTGCAGTGACCCATAACCGGAGGGGGTAGGGGGTGTTGGGGGTTAATCTGTGCTAGTAGAGCGGGTTGAGTTTGTAATCAATGCATACTCCTCTAATAACAGCCTCTCTCTCACGAGCACACTTTCAAAGCGGGTTCAACCGCGACCCACCCTCGAGCAGGTTCATTTAAAGCCACAGATCTGAGCCGGTACACCACACTCCATCTTAAAAAACTTTGTTTACACATTCTTAGCCCTGCTCGACGTTAAAGGCAGAGCAGGCGTGCTATTACACGGAAGCTCAACTTTTCCCACCGCCTCAGTCATTAGATCCTCTCGCATGTGGGCTTCAGCACATCAGCTGGTGAAACGTGCAAGTATCCACTCGGCTGACACTGACTGCATCATTTACATTAGTGGTTTTAAACCTTAAAAATCAGTCAATTAATTACGCACAATCAGAGCAGTTGATTAAATACGCTTTTGAAAAGAAGTGTTCATAATTGTAGCGAATGTACACCTGTAGTGTACTTCGAATCTTAAAAGTATATATATAATAAAATACTAATTAAATTGAAGTGCACTTAAGTGTAAGAGTATTTTTATAACCACACACTTTTTAAAAGTGCACTTTGTAATAATGTCTAGTTCAAAAGTTTTACTTTAAAGTGCCCTTGTAATCATTAAGTTTTATAACTCTTGTTTTATGCTTTAAAGAAGAACACTTATTTTGAAGTGTTGACTAAGCATATGTAACATACTTGATTATAATTTTAACTGTAGTGTGTTATTTAATATTACATTTAAAGTTAATATATTTAAAATGCACGTGTAATTATAAATATATTCAACTAACTGCATTAAATATAAATTGAATATATAATACAATTTCATTTAATTACAATTAAAGTGTCATTTGAGTGTCTGAAAATGTGTCCAGTGTAAAGTCCTGAAGCAAAAGCACTTGAAAGTACTGATCCAGATCAATGGCACGTGTGTCAAAATGGCATAAGGCTTGATTGGATCCTAAATGCAGTTGCACAGATCCATGAGGGCGACTACGGGGCACCAGAGGATGGTTTATAATGCAAGCACAGAGTCTGTCACATTCCCTGTTTGTTCCAGAAGGAAAAGGGTCGGGTAAAGAGATCACTTGTTGCTTAACCATTAAACACAAGAACACTTCTAGAGCAAAAGTGAAACGGGAACCTTTCTATGCATTCATAAGCAATCAAACAGAACCCTTTCACATCCATTCATGGTGCAATCCTTCCTCAGATTCTGGATGCATCCCATCAGTACTTCAACACACAAGGAGGTTTGGATATAATGGGATTCAGGCTAAGAAAAAAGTCAGTGTTTAACTTGAAATTGAAACCCCAAAGTCTCCACAAAACGTCTGAGTAAGGCTCTGGTTCTCTGTTATTGGCTGGAGAGTTAAACCTTCATGCTGTGCTCAGAACCAGACTGTCTCTGGGTGTTTGGCAGGGTCTGACTGAACTCTCTTCTGCTCCACAATCTCCAGTTTGTGGGAATGAACGTACTGTGAACTTGTGAACAGCTATTACAACTGACTAGTGACAGGCTATCAGAAATGTTTCAAGGTCTTTATAAATTTCAAGGTCTTTTAAAAGACGTTTCATGAAAGCCGGCTGTTCTCTGTGCTTGTGTGTGGGCTCAGATTAGATTAGATAAGATTATGCACTGTAACTGCTGAGGCTGCGGGACTTTAGTCGTGCGCTTCTATGATTCTTCTGGGATAATAAAACACCTCAAAACCTCACGCACACTCACTCTCAGAGTCGCTGATGCCGCTGTCGCTGACGCTCGCGCTGCTCCGTCTCTTCACGGTTTTCAAGTGCTCATCATATCTGAAGTGTCGCTTCTCCACGGGGGACGAGAAATCCTCAATGACAGCGTCGAATTCACACAACACGGCGTTCAGGTCGTCAACGTCCTCAAGAAATGCTGGAAAACGCACGAAAAGATTTGTTGCAGGAGCAGAATAAGTGCCATATAGCGACAAACTATCGCCTCAGTGTAATAAGCATACTTGCTAGTACGTTTAACGAGCCGCACTAAACCGCATTGAGTATCATTAAAAATCTTTGACTTACATTTGCTCTGTGACTTCATCTTTGGAGACTTCATCTTCTGTAGTCCTTGTGTGTTAAACTCCGAAAATATCCGATATAAGACAAATCTCCTGTTAATACACGGGCTGTGTCTTGCTCCTAAACTCGCACAGTGCGCCCGGTGGGGTTGTTTTAAATATCGCCCGGCGCTGAGAGGGAGGCGTGTTGGAAACGCATCGCCAATGAGACGCTCGCGCCTGTTTTAGCCCTCCGTGTGAGTTACATGCACTGGCGTCATTGCTCCCTGAACTATGTGTTTGTAAACAGCTACTATGTGCGACATCAGTACTACTTTATTTTTATCCGTAACTCCATCATGGGCACCCTTTAGCGATGACTTCACTTGTTGCAATGTTTTACCAGCAATACAGTAATAATGTGACAGGAAAAATGGCTTACTGTGTGTAATGTCATACGGCATGAAAATATATCTAAAGATGCATTGCAGTTCAAAAAGCCTTCAGGAATGTCGACGTGTGAGTGTGTCGGTGTGGCTCTATATATTTGTTAAAAAAAATTAATTCTTCATGCTAATTAACTTCATTAATTGTTTCATGTAAATTGATGTGTGATGGTAATCTGTAAAGTTTTGGCCAAAAACAAGACAGGCAGAAGCAGTAAATAAATAAATAAATATTGTCCGTATATAAAACATACGGGAAATAAAAAAATAATGTTATTTAATAATGATTATATATATATATATATATATATATATATATATACACACACACACACACACACACACACATTGTTTCCAACATTGATAATAATTGATTATAATAAATGTTTCTTGATCATCAAATCATTATATTAGAATATAATCAGTATATATATATATATACTGATGTACTGTATGTTTTCATCAACATAAATGCAATTACATATAAAGAGGAAAGTCATATAGGATTAGGTCAAAGGTTAGGATGATGGTTTGGATGTAACAACATAATTGGATGTAAAACACAATGCTTTGTCTGTAAAACCCAATCTTTTTCTGTGTTTTAAAAAAAAATGTGGTCTTATTTTGGTGTTAAATTCAAAGTATTCCCATTTTCTGTGTCAAGTCTAATCGATGCCGTTCCTTTTACGGTCATTCACAGATTCACAAAACTGATCTGGTCCAAGATTCTGCAGACATCTGGTGGTGACTAAATGTATGTGCACTCATGTTATTTATACATGCCAAAGAAATTGGATTCAGATATAGAACCATTTTATTGGTCAAGTGTGTTTAAATGCATGAAGAATTTGTTATTGATTCCAGAAGCTTCAGTACCTTCCGGTTCATAACATCTAGACAGATTAGAACTTTAAATGACAGTTCATGCTTAAGAAATCTGTACAATCTTTGACTACTATGCTGAATGTGACAGGAACAACATTTCATACTGTCGGCACAGGCAATTTCATAAGGCCAGATAATACTTTTGAGGCCTAACTGCTTAATCATATACAGCTAAATCCTGCTTTTTGTTATTTTTTAGTGGGACTGTGGGATTTATCACTTGCAAAAGAATTCTTTACACCTCTGGTGTTGGAGTTAACAGGTAGGCACATGGTAAAACAAGACATGTGTTTGCAGCTGCACTTGCCTGCTGACTCTAGGGTTTAAGTGGACATGGAAGGTGTCGAAGACTACACTTACTGTCTGAGAGAGTGAGATCCGTTCAGTTCACAAAACATTCACAAGGATTTGCCGAATGTTTCTGTCAAAAAAAAAAAAAGGTTTTATAAAGAATGTACTCACTAAGAGTAATTTCCAACTGAAAAAAAATAAAAAAACTAGAAAAATATATAGTCACTACAGAAACATGACTTTTACTTTTACAATTTTCCTGATATTTCCAGATTTTTCATTACTTTGGGAACCCTGGTCTTTATATTTAAATTTTAAAATATTTTAAATTCCTATTTGATCCTGCTGATCACAGCGGTTATAAGATATATACAATATATCAAAATATTTACTTTTTATTGCACATTTTATTTCCATATTCACTTCCAGAACACATCTGACAGTCACTGCAAACTACAATGACATTTTTCTCAAATTATACACGATACTGAATAATCGAGACAAACTTCAGACATGATACAATCCCAATTTAAAGTGCAATACAGTCCCTGTTTTCCAAATGCTCTTGCTTACAAAAAGGGTTGTCGATCCCCAAAAAAATGATTAAAAAAAAAATGAAATCAAGCCTTTGAGATATGTTGAAGTCTTATTGAAGCATGGATTTGCTTGCAAAAGACATCAAACATCACTAATATGTTGCATATCACTGTGTTTCACAAATGCATTGAGGATATACGTGCTCTCATTTATAATAAAGTGTGTTTTCCCTTGTTTTTAATCTAATTTTCATCATAGTAGTTCATAATGCTCTGAATGCCTTGACAGTGGCGCCCACTAGTGTTCATGATGGAGTCAGTTATAGCTTTAGTAATGCATTACACCACAGTTTAGATTGAGCTTGCATGCAATATATGCTTTCGAATTAAAAAGTTCGAATGAAGTGCAGAGTAAATATAATAATAATTGATCTGTAACCATAAACATAACAGAACGCTAACAGTGCACAATAATGAGGACCGATGTGTTTCTGATACAAGATTGCCTTTAGAAGTTTCACCATAGCAACCTACGAGAAATTGTAATGATAGATCCATAAACATTAAATATTACAGTGAAACAACATGCAAAGTTATTACAGACTGAAAATATTATAACAGGCTCTTCATGTCATTGAGCGTGTTTCTGGAGAGTTAATATCACTCTTAAATAATAGTAAGACATATTGGCATCACTTGCTTCGTAATATGTGGATTAACAAAACAAAACCCTCATAAATGTCCAATTGTTCCATAGTTTACACTTCCAAAGTCATTTGTAAACTGCACATACACCAAATGAAATCCTATAGACATATACTGTACTGTATATCTCCCAATCACTCTTTCTGCCTTAACTTCATTCAGAACGTCACCCTAATTTATTGCATGAAACTGTATGGGCCAAAGTGCATTAGCATAAACAGGGTGTGTTCTCCTCCTGTTCACCAGCGAGCTGTATGAAGCTGCTCTCACTTGGCTGTTTCAGTCTCAGTGGCTTGCGATTCTTCAGCTTGTAGGCCAGAGTGAGGAAAATGGCATCTACACGCTCTTTTTCCACAGGGTCTCTTGCAGATGTCTCAAAAAGCGGGAAGTTGTAGCTATCAGCCAGTCGCTGAGCTAAAAACGTGGACACCTCTCTCATTCCTCTCAAGTCACATTTGTTCCCAACTAGGATGCGGGGGACCATGGGAGGAACTGAGTGACGGCTGCACTCCTCAATCCACTCCGGCAGACTCTCAAATGAAGCCAGACTGGTCACGTCATACACAAAGATGATGGCATGGACGTTTCTGTAGTAATGCTCCACCATACTCTTCCTGAAGCGCTCCTGTCCCGCCGTGTCCCAGATCTGCAACTGAGAATGAGAATTCAATTTTGATCATTGTAGATATTATACTTGTATAAGACCAGGGCTAATTGTCATAAAAATCTCAGCAGTTTTGAGCCCAAAGTGCTATTATACACGTGTGATAAATCAGCACATCAGTGAACTTACATGTGACATTAAAGGGGTCATATGATGCTGCTAAAAAGAACATTATTTTGTGTATTTGGTGTAATGAAATGTGTTTATGCGGTTTAATTTTAAAGAAGTCTCTTCTGTTCATCATGGCTGCGTTTATTTGATTAAAAATACAGAAGAAACAGTAATATTGTAAAATATAATTACCATTTAAATAATGGTTTTCTATTTTAATATACTTTAAAATATAATTTATTTTTTTTTTTTCTATTTTAGTAGAAAAAAATGTCTTTATTATCACTTTTTATCAATTTAACACATCCTTGCTGAATAAAAGCATTAATTTCTTAAAAAAAAAAAAATACTGACCCCAAACTTTTGAACAGTATATTGTTACAAAAGATTTCTGTCTTAAATAAACAGTTCTTTTTAACTTTATTCATCAAATAATCATGAAAAAATTATCACAGTTTCCAGAAAAATATGAAGCAGCACAACTGTTTCCAATATTGATAATAAATCAGCATAGAATGATTTCTGAAGATCATGTGACACTGAAGACTGGAGTAATGATGCTGAAAATTCAGCTTTACATCACAGGAATTGCAATAATATTTCACAATATTAGTTTTTTCTGTATTTCTGATCAAATAAATGCAGACTTGATGAGCAGAAGAGATTTCTTTCAAACACATTAAAAATCTTACTGATCTCAAACTTTTGAACAGCAGTTATAATAGTATAGTATAACGATAGTTATAATACTCTATTTAAACAAAATTACACCATTTAAAATATTTAAAGTGTTGTTTATCTAACTTACCACTGAACGGATAGCAGTCCATTGTGAAGAGAGGAATATAAATACTCGTTCTTCAGGATTTGTGAAATAAACTCTGCTGTACGGATCCTTACCTTTATGTTTTCTCCATCAAGTTGAAGGGTTCTCTCTCTGAAATCTACTCCGATTGTTGCCTCGGGGTTTTGGAGAAATTTACCACCGCAAAAGCGGAAAGTTAGACACGTCTTCCCAACATTTGAATCCCCAATAACGATTATCTTAAACACCCTCGCCTGAGCACTGTCATATTCCTGACACGAGTCATTGGCCAGACTGTCTCTTGTGTAAATCGTCGCGAAATCATTGTTGCCCGTTGTGTTTTCTATAGCCATAGCTCCGATACTCGCGAAATATCGCGAGAGGATAAGAACAAAGTGTTTTCTATTGCCATAGCTCTGATACTCGCGAAATATCGCGAGAGGAAAAGAATGAGATCTTAACGTGAACTCTCGTGACCTTTGCTCATGTATCTAAAAAACCTTTGTAAAAAAAAAAAACATTCAGTCTATGGTAAAAACGCCTGAAGCTGAAAAAACAATGAATAAAATGATTTATTAAGAATGAGATCTTAACGTGAACTCTCGTGACCTTTGCTCATGTATCTAAAAAACCTTTGTAAAAAAAAAAAAACATTCAGTCTATGGTAAAAACGCCTGAAGCTGAAAAAACAATGAATAAAATGATTTATATAAAGTATAAACAGATTTATTAACTGGACCAACCCTATAAATTAGATTACATAAACGTGGTAATTTAACAGACAACTATAACATTTAAACAACAATAAAAATAAGGAACAAACAGGTAAATTGAGGTAGGGTGCAACTCTGCTAATTGTTCAAAGATGTATATTCTGTATGTTTACTAATAGCAGAATAATAAGGTGTAGTTATAGCATACTTCAGAGGAAATGAAATGTGTAATATACTGTAGTAAATGCTCCATCCTTCCTGAAGTGGTTGATCTTAATAATGTATCTAAACGTTATCCTGCTATACCAAAAGTGTATACATTAATTGCCCCTATATCACCTCAACAAATGAGGCCTTTATGTTTGAAGGAAACCTCATTATCATGAATTAAACTGCACCATCAATATTAAATAAAACTGAATATTTTTGTGCTCATAAACTTTGAGACCAGAAACAACCACGTTTTCTTTAACAGGGGCTGTTTGCCCCATTGTACCCTGTTCAAGAGTCCAGCGTAATACTGCTCTTTATTTATGACCACCAAAAACCGGCAGAGTCAAAATACTAAAAATTCTTTGCACCTCTCTTATAATCCTGAGACAAGGTAGCATTCACTGACAAGGTAAGCATTTGTTTAATAACACTCATCATAACAGCATGGATTTCAAGTAGGTTCTAGCCACATCGAAACAGGCTAATCATTTCAACACCTATATCTCAATATACTTTGCAGCATGTTCACGTTTGGCTCTATTACACATTTTTTTTACGCTGTATTTGACACTTCTGACACATCTGAACTGCACCGGCTACCAGTTTTCATCTGAAAAGGAGCTTGAGCTGCCGGAGTCAGAGTCTGCATCAGTCAATCCATCGAAGTCCCAGTCAGCGCTGGAGCCGCTGTCGTCATCCTCCTCCGAGATGAAATTCTGACCGGACCCCAAGCACGCGGTATAAACCCGGGTGGAGAGACTTATGGATCCGAAGGACAATCCAAACATGGTGGCCACGTTTCTCCATGAGTCCCGAGTGGGATCGTATTCATGTATAACAAGCCTGTTTTTGCTGTGATGAACTATTGCAATAGTTAGAAGCAGCAGTTTGCTGTTGTGTTGCACCACTTGGTAGTTGAGAGCGCTGCTGTCAATGGGAATGTCACCGATCCGCCTCCATTCTCCGCGAGCTGGGTTATAGGCTTTGACCACGGGGATATCGCACAAACATATAATCTGCTCCTGGAAAACACAAGCTTTGTGGAGTTTGCTGCGTTTCAGAGAGCCCCGCTGGAGCCACAGACTTTTCTTCGGCTCGTAGCTGAGCATCCTCCTCTTGTTCACCACATAAAGCCGCTCGTTTACCGTCACAACCTGCATCTTTCCCAAAGAATGTGGCAAAGGGGCCACAAAACCCCATTGGTTCCTCTGAATGCTGTAGCATTCTACTTCCTTGAGCCTGGCGTCCGATACCGGATCCCTGCCTCCCAGAATGTACAGGTGCCCGTTGAGGTAGCCCATGTACGAGTGCATTCTTCGGAGAAGTCGTTCCGCAAGCTCCTGCCAACAATTTAACAGGGGATTGTAGACCCAGAAGTGCTTGGACAGGTGCGAGGCGAGATACAGATTGTTCTCTGGCGTGGTGCAGACCATAAACGTCTCCACAGGAGAGCGTTTGAAGTTCTGATTGGTGAGGTTCATGACCGGGGACGCCATAGAATAGATGTCGTCCGTATAGGGGTCGTAGCACATGAAAGGCTCATTTGGCCGTCCGAAGAAAAGCACCATTTCTTTTGCACTCTTGCCGATTCTTTGTTTGGCAGCATGTACGCTCTTTGAAATCGTAGCGCTCGGCTCACCGCCGGCCCCGTCTAGGACATTCGAAAGATACTTCTTAATAAAAGGCTTTGATTTGAGGCCTTCTAGATAAACCCTGTCCTTCTCTGAAAACAAAGCCCACCGCACACATCGAAGGACCTGCAGCGCATCTTCAGCATCCGCATGCAGGTTATTCTCAACCCACTGTATTGCAAACGAACACACTTTGCGTTCACAGTCCACGTCCAGAGAATCCAGTGTGAGGATCTCCTTAATTTGCTTCAGGTCCAGCTCACAAAGCTCTCGCGCGCTGGCACCGAGCTGGACGAAGTTCTTCGCGATGAACACCTGAGCTTTGCTCTTCAACTCCAGATTGTCAAAGGTGTCGGCGAACTTCAAAATCCCTGCACAGTTAGAAAGGTCCAGCCTTCTTGTCATGAAGTTGGCACACGCTTGCCGGATATACTCCAGCTGCAGCATGTTGGCAGCTGCATAAAGCCTTTGCACGTTGCCTTCAGTGATTGTCACTTTGCCAGTGTAGCAGTAATCGATTATGACAGCCATTGAATGGGCGTCCACCTCATGAATGGTGACGCTCCTCTGAGTGCTCTCATACAGTCCTCCGGTAAACATGCTCTTGAAATACGGGCTCGCGGCAGCCAGTATATTTCGGTTGCACTGGAAAACTTTTCCTGAGCAGCCTGAGGAAACACTTTGCTCCGGGTCAGGCTCCACTTCGATAGTCACGTCGACTAACAGCTGCGAGTCGTAGAATAATTTCAGCTCTTTCATCAAACTTAAAGCGTGATTCGTGTCCTCAAGCTCCTCCGGACCACCGAAGCAGCTGACCGAGGCCATGTCGAGCCCGTTCTCTCCGTCCGAACGCAACTAAATCCTGTCAGTTTGCGGCGGCACCGGCATCAAATCTCCCTCAGCTCTCAACGTGTCATGAAAACAACAAACTGTGGGCTGCAGGTACCGCTTCCTTGTTGCCTGACAATGCAGACATGTTTCATTAATGAAACGCGGGCCTTTTTTTCACTGTACGAAATTATTTTAGGACAAACGATCGGCAGCGGCGATGTCCGTCCCGATTAATTTCATTTCGCTAGGCTTTTGATCTTGAGTAATCGACGTTGCGTGTCTCACTCAAGCTTGCTGCCGCCGAGCTGCAGAACACGGCGCTGATTGGTCACATCGGCTGCGCCGCAAAGTCTGTTAACCAGCCTACATAGACAGCATTTATGGGCAGCGTAGGCCAGTGCTCTCAGTGTGATACCACAAGTGCTGCCCGCAGCTATGCGACCCAACAGTGCCTTCTAGGTAGGCAGCTCTCTATGATTTGAGACGTAGCCAGTCTCAGCGCTCTGTATTAAGTTCGGTTGGCCTGCTAAAGCTTTGTTCAGAATGACAAGCCTCAATATTATATAAAATATAGATTTAGTTACAAATATTAAATATTATTTTTAAAATGGAAAGTATTGCATTAAAGTATGCAGTTCGTGAATTCATGACATTTGTTTTGTTTCATCAAATGTAAATTCATGTCCCAGTCACATTTTCTTGGTTAAATAAACATTACTTACACTATCAGAAAAAAAGAAAGAAACAACAACAACAACTATATTTTATATTTTTATATAATATTCTATTTATTAAAGCCAAGTATGAATCTCATCAAGTTAGTGTTTTAAGCATTTTACATTTATTCCAACATAATAACAGGCAGTAACAATTTAAATAATATATTGTATTTGTGAATTTATGTTCAGCTATTATTTTTAATAGTTAACTTTGAAGTATTTTTGAATTTTATGATTGATTAATATACTACAAACACCTTTTTTGACATTTTTATCACAGAATAAAGCAGAAAATATATTTTCTAGTTTCTAAAGGTTACTGATATAAATGGTATGTCAATTAGCACTGCATTATTCATATACTTTATTTATTACCTGGAGATGACTTGGAAAAACACATATAAAAAGTGTAGCAATCGTGTGTTTATTGTCTTCATGTTTTATCAGTCAAAACGTTTCTGCTTTTTATTCAGCTTAGATACAGTGATAGCTGGATGCCTTTGTCCATATTAGGGATTTCCTGGCACGTTATAAGTTATTACTTCTATGAGTCTGTTTTGGACTTTCCCTATGAATGAAACAGACACAGGAGAGTGTTCAGTGCTCAGTAATGTTCACATCGCCTCATTTTGGATACAAATGAAGCGTCAGGTCATGCATAGACTATCTTGTCTCTTTGCATTTAAATCTTTAATTATTTATTCACACTGGCCGTTGAAATCTCTACGTGACACATCCCACGTATCTCCCGCGTATTCTACACTCATGCTCCCAGAGATCATGTTTTCATGCCATTTTAAATCTTATTTTGACGTAAAACAAAGTGCTTATATCTAAGTGTGTGAGTTGTTTACTTACTTTTTTAAATTAGTCTTCCCATTAATGCCATCATATTCTTCATTCAGACTGATTTGCGAATGCGCACAAACACGAGGCTGGCCTGGTTTCACAGACAGGGCTTAGACTAAGCCAGGATTAGGCCATAGTTCAGTTAGGACATTTAAGTAATTTTTATTAACATGCTTTGGAAAAAAAACATTACTGGTGTGTATCTTGAGACAAAACAAGGGCACTGACATATTTTAAGGTCAATCAGTGCAAGTTTCTTTCAGATTTACATTTTAGTCTGGGACTAGGCTTAAGCCTTGTCTGTGAAACTGGGCTCAGGGGAGGCGAGAGAGACGCTGACTCCTGCTGTAATCAGAATCAGAAAGAGCTTTATTGCCAGGTCTGTTAACACATATGAGGAATTTGTGACAGAAGCTTCCACAGCACAAACAGAAGGACAGTGACAAGACACAGATAATAAATATAGAGTAAGTAAAAGGAAATAGCAATATACAACAAAGTTTTTGAAGAAAAACACAATATACTAAATAGGCAATAGATGGTATTTGTGTGTAAAGGTGTGTTATGTACAATTAAATGCAAGGAAATGTGAATAAGAAGTATGGTGTGTTAAATAAATAAATGTAGTTATGTATTAAATGTTTATTGTAAAGTTAACTTCATGAGATGGATTGCCTGAGGGAAGAAAATGTTCTTATGCCTGGCCGTTCTGGTGCTCACTGCTCTGTTACACCGACCAGACAGCAACAGTTCAAAGAGGAAGTGACCTAGGTGTGAGGGGTCCAGAATGATTTTGCTCAGCTCTTTTACTCACTCTGGATGAGTGCAGTTCTTGGAGAGTGTGGAGGGTTGTACCAGTGATTCGCTCAGCAGTCCGAACTATCTGCTGTAGTCTTCTGAGGTCAGTTTTAGTAGCTGAGCTGAACCAGACAGTTGTAGATGTGCAGAGGACTGATTCAGTGACTGCAGAGTAGAACTGTATCAGCAGCTCCTGTGGCTGGTTGAATTTCCTCAGCTGGCGAAGGAAGCATCTGCTAAATGACTAAATAAATAAATAAATATGCCTTTTTGCCAATGGAGTCTATGTGGAACTCCCACTTCAGGTCCTGAGAGATATCTGGTGCCCAGGATTCTGAATGACTACAGTGCTGTTCATGATGGTTTATACTTTTTAATGTATTTGTAAAACTTGGGTTGTTTTATTTTTGCACTACAAATTTTTTTCTCATCCAATATTTTGAGGAGGCACTGCCTCCCTTGCCTCCTCAGAGGAAACGCCCCTGACACACACACACACACACACACACACACATATATGTGTGTATATATATATATATATATATACACACACACACACACAGTTAAGATTTATTTACAATTATTTATTTATAATTAAATATGTTCTGATTTAACAATAATTCATAAACTTGTCAGACCGGACAGGCATGGTTTATTTGAGCATTCAACTTACGTAGATTTAACTGCTTTTCAAGGGGATTAGGGTCAATAAAGCAGCACTGCAGTTTAGCCTGAACACATTTTAAAGGTAGCGCTTACAACGCTGACTAAGACACAGTTATGACATTTTTATTATCAAAACAACAAAACATGAGTAAATGCATTGTGAATGTACAGTAAATAAATGTATTGCATGACAGTTTGACTGAATGATAGAACAGTGAATTAAATTTGATTTATGTAATTGGTAACAGAAAGAACGGTTTCATGAAGAGTGTATTGGGGAAAAAATATATGAATATTTAAAACTATTGAATACTAGTGAACATGTACACTAGGGTCCAAAAGTCTGAGGCCACATTGAAAATTTGGATCATTCTCAAATCATGCTGGATAAAATTAACATAATGAATGAACGATAGTATGGGAAAAAATATACTTTAAAAGAATATACTTAAGTGTGATCTGAATGTAATGTTTTCAGACACTTAATTGTTAAAACAGGTTCATTTTTATTAGGAAAAATTATATTAAATGCAATCAGCTAAAAGATTTGAAGTAAACTACAAGTTTACAGTCAACACAATTAAGCACACTTCTTTTTCACAACTGAGTTGAAATGAAAAATATTAGATAATAAATTTACAACAAAATTTTCACTAAGTGAAAATCATTTTCACTAGTGGTATCAAACTTTTAGCTCACATAATTTTCTTTGCCAAATGGTCTTAGTTATAACTGCGATTAAGCACATTAATCCTGCTCAAGGCATCCTTATTGTCTATGGTCTTGTGGACGGTAATGATGAAGGGGAAGGCAGAGGGCAGCTCAACTCTGCGGCTGAGCTTCTGGTGACCCCAGTGCAGGCAGCGCAGTCTCTCAGCCAGATCACGACGGCCCGCCCGCTCAAGACCGTCCTGCAGCAGCTTGGTTTTGTTCGGTTTGTCCCAGGAACGCTCATACCTATCATATAAAAAAAATAAATACTGTGTAAAATAACAAAGCACCCATTTAAAAAAATAATAAAATAAAAAAATGAATTAATACACACCATGATTCCAGCATTCTCTGAGCCTGAACCCTCTTTTCTTTGGATGTGGCATGAAACTGTCTGACTTCATTTCTGGTGAATCCAAGTTCAAATGCTAAAACGGTCCACTCAAACCCTAACTGCTTAGCAATCTCCTGCACAGATTTCATATTGATCACCGCATCCTAAAGGACAAAGTACAGTATGCATGGACATATAATGGGAAAAAAATGTTAATATTACTAACAATATTGTAGAGATGACTCACCTCTTGTGCCTTGTTTGGCATTTTATCCACTTACACAAGGATTCTAGTTGGTTCCACAGGCAAGAAACAAGAGCTACAATGCAGAGTCTGTCAGTACCATCTAATGACTTTTTAAATGAGTAAAAAGTACAACACTTTTTTAAATGTAATTTAAAACACTTACAAATTTGCACTGTTGATGTTAATGTGACTGGAGTGGTCAGTGGTTGTCAGAGAGACTGTCAAACACAAACCTGCCTGGTTAAAAATTAAAATATCACACAGTTCACTCAAGCTTTTACATTAAGAATTCACTTAGTGGAGTGAATGTAAGTGAGCATAATTTTGAAAATTATTGCACTTGTCTTTAACACATAATGGTTTGTTTTATTATTATTCATACCACAACACTACATAAGCATGTGTTTATAGACATATTACACTATATATTATCTTAAAAGATATATTGTAAAATATTATAAAACTATCTCTTGATTTTAAAAGGACAGTAACATATTTAATCATGTCTGTCAACTTGACAAATATATTTCATATATTATTATGACATATTATAAGACATAAGACATTATATTAAGACATTATATAAGCATTTCACAGATTTCTTTGTAATCTAAACGTGTAAAACTACAGTATATTGTCAGTGCATCTAGTTCTTTAGCTGAACTGGTTCTATGCATTTGTTACATGTTAAGTTAGAATAGCTCCAAGTCCAGACCTCTTCTCTTCTTCATTGTTTAACTCCAGATCCTCCAGCCTGCACAGTTAAAAAAGCCAAGATGTACAGTTGTGCATAAATATTTGGACAAGACTGAGGCCAGTGTTGTTGAAGAGTGCATTTGATTTTGGAATAAAAAGTTGGGTTAGCATGTTAATGTTGTCACATGACCACTCTTGCCACATTTACCATTGTGGCGTGGAAATGAAGAGAGTCATGCACAGAAATAAACAGAGACTAATATCAGAGATACAGTAATTTTTCATGAAAGAAATATGTCATGATGCATTACTGAACCACCGTGTTAATTCAATGTTGTCACATGACCCACATTTATCATTGTGACGCTCAAACAGTGGTGTAGATGAAGAGAGTCATGCACAGCATTGAACAGAGAAGACCAGTATGATTTTTCAGACAAACGATTCATGTTGCACTTTAACACACATGGATACAATTTTCTCATGTATTAATTGAAATTGAAAAAAAATTGAAAAAGGTCAGAGAAAAACGTACTGCGCCATGGTACAACAGTAATACCCATTCTCTCAAGAAAGAAACTCGTAGTCTTGAGCGCAAATGGAGAAAAACTAACTTGGAAGTTTTTAGAATTGCGTGGAAAAACAGTATGTCCAGCTATAGACAGGCTCTAAAAGCTGCCAGGGCCGAGCATATCCACAAACTCATAGAAAATAACCAAAACAATACAAGGTTTTTATTTAGCACAGTGGCTAGATTAACAAATAACCAGACACCACCCGATCTAAATATTCCCTCACAGTTTAATAGTAATGAATTTATGAATTTCTTCACTGATAAAATAGATAACATCAGAAATAAAATAACAAATGTAGATTCTACAGCGTATAATACTTCAACTTCATTCATCGCACCAAAAGATAAACTGCAGTGCTTTACAACTATAGGACAGGAAGAGCTAAATAAACGTATCACTGCATCTAAACCAACAACATGCCTGTTAGATCCTGTACCCACTAAATTACTGAAAGAGTTGTTACCTGTAGCAGAAGAACCGCTTCTCAATATTATTAACTAGTCGTTGTCTTTAGGTTACGTCCCAAAACCATTCAAGCTGGCGCTTATTAAGCCTCTTATTAAGAAACCACAACTAGATCCTAGTGAACTGGCAAATTACAGACCCATCTCAAATCTTCCTTTTATGTCTAAAATTTTAGAAAAAGTTGTGTCTGCACAATTGCGCTCCTTCCTGCAAAAAAATGATCTCTATGAAGAATTTCAGTCAGGTTTCAGGCCCCACCATAGCACAGAAACTGCACTTGTTAAAATTACAAATGACTTGCTTCTTGCGTCAGACCAAGGCTGTATCTCATTGCTAGTTTTACTTGATCTTAGTGCTGCGTTCGACACTATAGATCATGACATACTCATAGATCGATTACAAAACTATACAGGTATTCAAGGGCAGGCTTTAAGATGGTTTAGATCCTACCTGTCCGATCGCTACCACTTTGTTCATTTAAATGGGGAGTCATCTCAATTATCACCAGTAAAATATGGAGTGCCACAAGGATCTGTCCTAGGTCCTCTGCTATTTTCGATATACATGTTGCCCCTTGGTAATATTATTAGAAAATACGGGATTAGCTTCCACTGTTATGCAGATGATACTCAACTATATATCTCAACAAGACCAGATGAAACTTCTAACTGACAAGTCACCACTGATATGCTACTACTAAATAGTGTAGAAACGTAATTTTCTGTAAAGTTGCTTTGCAACAATTTGTATCGTAAAAAGCGCTATACAAATAAACTTGAATTGAATTAATTAATTATCATTAAATAATAATTAATTAATACAAATTTGGGTTACTGAACTTACCGTGTTCATTTTACTTCTTTTCAATTCCCTGTCTTGCCACATTTGCCGCAGTGGTTACTCAAACAGTAAGATATAGATGGGAAGAATCATGCACAACAACAGAACAGAAGGCAAAATAAATGATTATTTCATGTTTTGATTTACCTTAATGGTAAGACAGGTGATTTGTTCGTCCTAGTCGCTCACAAGACCTAAAGCAATACGCTAATATTCATTTCCACTGTATTACGTCATAACAGAAATAGAACGTTTATTTACAACTAAGTGAATAGAACTGGCGCCGATCCTGTGGGGGCCCGACATGGAAATGGCCCATATTCCCCATTAACTTTAACCAATCAAAAAAGCGACTTAAGAAAAACACAAAGGTCTCCGTTACATTTTCCTCGTGAGACACGAATAACTTGAATCATAGGCGTAAGGTGAACTCAAAATCCTATGTTAGTTAATCTAATAATTACGCACATCATAAACCCATCTTTTTAGGCAGGTAACAAATATGGGTGTCATGCCATGAAATATTTTTTTAATAGGGCTACTACTTAATTTGTGTTTAACGTAATCACAATTGAATAAAAACGTAAGATACTAATTATAACGCTTTCATTTACAAGGTTATTCAAACAGCGAGTAAATGATATAGAACAGAAAGCGAGAAAAAAAACATTACATTATCATACATTATCGCTTACTTCAGTCTAGCGCGAATTTACGCACTCTCAAAAAAATAAAAAAAACACTCCTGTTATAAAAAATGAAGCTGTCTGCACTGTGAATTGAATCTCTTACTTACATCGTAAGTATCTCTGCACTTGTTGTTTATATGATGAGAGAATTCGTCCAAGAGCATAATTCAGTCAACGAGCGCAGCGTTTCAGCGATGACTCATCTGAACGCTTCTGATTGGTCGTTGCATTCATAAACTCAACGGAATCGTGTGTGATTGGTTGTAATGCGCTACGCTGCAAAAACGCGTAATAAGTATGACACCAAATATGACCCCAAAATATATCGGCCCATGTTTGCTAAACGATTAATGAATCCAATTTCCTTTGCTAACATTTAGTAGTATCTCAATATGGTGCATCCCAAATTTTGTGCAAATCAGACAAACAGCCTAGGAGGAGTAGGTTTTTCCAAAAATGTAAATATTCTCTTGAATATCATATTTCAGTTTCCTATTACTGATATCCTCTGTTCCCAGGTACTGTACGAAATTTTTCCAAACATTATATTTCAGTTCAAAAGCTGTTTATTCAACATTTGAAAAAATTACTATCTATTATCCTTCCATCATAAACCAGTTCTTAAAAAAGAGAAACAAATGTTACCATTTGATGTGCAAATGTCTTGTCCACAATGCTCTGTATCACGAGCATCATGTAAACATACAATCTGGAATTGCTGCCATTTACTCTAGGCTGCATTTGTACTTCAACAGCAGTATACAGTGTTTTACAGTCCATTTCGTCTGCTTTTACAAATGCATCAGATCACCCAAATAATTATCTTGCCATATGTTGCAACATAATTGGCAACATTATTAAAAAAGGAATGCAACTTGCACAGCAGAAACCATTCAGGTACTACTCTGGCAATACTGGTTATCTAATGTAACAATGCAAGTTAACAGTAAAAGTGCTATTTGAGAGACAATGACTTATGCTTATTAAATCATAACATCTACCAAAACCAATACTGTCCTTATATTCATATCTAATTATTAATATCATTTGACAATTGGTTTCAATGGTTAAAAAATTGTGCTGCAATTAGGCAAATTATTTGCACGTAAACACTTGTATGCATAACACTCTGGGTTTCAGCCATCAGGCATATTGCAGTGGTGCTGTATTGCATTTGTTAAAGGGTTAGTTCACCCAAAAATGAAAATTAGCCTGTGTTTTACTCACCCTCAAAACATCCTAGGTGTATGTGACTTTCGTCTTTCAGACGAATCCAATCTGAGTTATATTAACAATTGTCCTGGCCCCTCCAAGCCTTACAATGGGGGTAAGCGGGTGTTTTTGCTTGTCAACAGTTCAGAAGACATGAAATAAAGTGCGTGCATCCGTAATAAAACGTCCCTCACACGGCTCCGGGGGGTGAATAAAGGCCTCCTGTAGTGAATCCATGCATTTTTGTAAGATAAATATCCATATTTCAAACGTAATAAACACTTTTTTCTCACTTCCGCTGACTGTCATACGCGGAAGACGTTCCGGCGGATGACGTAAGACTTCGACGTTGCGTGATTAGTGACGAACGCGGAGACAAAACAAAACAAAATGCCATTCACGAATTAGAAGAACAAAATGAGGATTTGTAAAGAAAAATGTCGGAGGATTTTGATATAAGCCCAGAGGAGACTGGTTTTCCTTTGCTAAAGTAAGGAAACTTCGTTTCCTTTGCTCCTGCATTTCTCAGAGGCACGCGCACGACGCATACATCCTTCGTCATCCGCTTGAACGTCTTCCGCGTACCACAGTCAGCGGAAGTGAGAAAAAAGGGTTTATTACGTTTGAAATATGGATATTTATCTTACAAAAATGCATGGATTCGCTACAAGAGGCAGTACTTTTCAACTTCAAATCACTTGATGTTATTTTATTTCCACTTCAGGTATATAAGCAACAGTTGTGCCCAGCCAGCTGGGCCTGAGACATTTAAGGTCAG